TAGAAGGCTGAAACTGTAGGAGAGTGTTCCCTACTCGTGTATGACCAAAAGATTTTAAATTCAGCTTTTTAAAACTGTCCGGTAATCATGTACGGACACGTGAAAATTTTGGTGGGAAAACTGCTAACTCGGGAGGGAATGTCCCCTATTCCTGTGTGACTTAAATTTAACCCTTCTAGTGCGGCCTTTTTCGCGGATCAGGGATTTTCTGTTTGTCGAGTCACTAATGTCGACACCTATTGAGTCGCAAGCTGGGTCCATAGATATTGCTGGCGATTTCAGAAAAGTTTGCGCAGTTAACAGTAAGGATGTCATCGATATACCGAAAGAGATGAAGATGAGTAGTAGGATTTTTACGAAGGAATCGATATTCCGTGACTGAAACTGAATTCATATTTGCGGGGTTTCGAAATAATGATCAGTTATGCCTTGGTTTTACACTGATTCGAGCTGTGAGATCTTAACATGTCCTGCTATTTTATCGCCCTCCCTAATTTACCAGTTTTTCGACTGAAGCTTCGTAGACTGGCAGCAAGTGGCACCAATCTGAATGGATTGATGTGTTGCTGAACTTGCCGTCCAGGAATCTGCAGCCAACGTTTCTGTGTCACAAACAGTTTCAGTTCAAACATAAGTCTAGCTACCGATGAGTTATGCCCTTAAGTATTTTCAAAACACATAAGTCCGTACTTCCCTTAAAAAAAGAGGAGGGAGTTGTAACATCCAAGCGTGGCAACTGGCAATCTTTTTTTCCTGAGTGAAGCTAATTATCGGGAAATGCTGCCTTACGTGGGATTACACGGCCAGAACTAGGCTTGCTCTGTATATTTGTTGTGGATACTTTTATATTCACACATTTTATGAAAGAAGCAAAACAAGACACAAAAAGCATAACAGCTCTGTCAAAATGCGCAAAGTGAATGTCAGTGGCCAGAATAATCGAGATAAGTGGTCACTGCAAAATATTGAAATACTCGATGAGCTCGGTGTTTGCAAATAATAAGATATCCTTTCTTGCAGTTGACGATGTATTTTTTCCATTCATACTCAATTAGTGAACACACTTGAGTCTTAGAATATGCCCTCAGTAGATTTTTCAGGATGCCGCGATAACTGACTGGACATTGTTCCGAAATAATTGACTGCACAAATCTCTTAAGGTTCAGCCACATGAGGATGGAAAATGATTTCTCGGTGTTCCTCAGTTTGACAATACATTTCTTTACTACGCTGCTGCTGAATTGTTCTACTCGTCCTTTCTATTGGGAGAATAAGTCAGTTCAACTTCCTTTTAAAGCAGATGATCCTAAACCACTCTATACATGGAAGATTCTTCCGAAATATTTCATCGCAGTAGCAAATTTCATTTGCATAATAGCATTCGCCCATCCAAATTACAGACTGTTTGTGCAATGACTCGTCCTCTCTTTCATAACCAAGTAGTGCGTTCAGAACGCCACCAGCATTTAATGCATCGAATAGAACGCATGCAGATCACACCGAACAAACCCACGAGATACCACATTACGCTTTTCCGACATTCGTATTTCCAATTTTCACGCAATTCGTCATCAAATTGCATTTTCGAGCAATATATCGGGTCACAATCTTGCTCGACCAGCATCGTGCCAAAGTTTTTTCGACAGGCCAGCATAAATGACCAAAGCCACTCAGATAAGTAAGCACTGTGTTCGGTTTCCGATTCCAGTCCAAGGTTACAACAGGAAAATCATTCGAACTGCAACCAGTGCACACGATATTGTACAATAGTAACAACACTTGAAAACACCTTGGAGACCGCTAGCCAACCCGTCCTTCATCGTGAACAGTGTCTCCAATTACAGTTTTCATCAAAACCTTTCTCCATGCGCTGCACGCTTTGAGAGAGAGATCACCTCGCACCCAACCGCTTCGCCCCATCGTTTGTTTATACCGAGACAT